GTATTCGTACTCATCTTCGTATTCGTACTCATCTTCGTATTCGTACTTATCTTCGTATTCGTACTCATCTTCGTATTCGTACTCATCTTCGTATTCGTACCCATCTTTGTATTCGCACTCATCCTCTTCTTCGTCCTCATGATCCTTTTCATTATATGTATGTACGTCCTCGTGTATGTTCGGCTGCGTAATCGTATTTGTCTTCGTCTTCGTATTGATACTCGTTCTCCGATACCCGTACTCGTCTTCGTCTTCATATTCATATTTGGCTTCGTCTTCGTATTGGCCTTAGTGCTCTGTTTGTATTTGTAATTCTCTTCGTCTTCGCCTTCGTGTACGTCTTTATATTCTCGCTCGTATTCAAAAACAAAAAATTTGAAACAAAATACTCGTATCTTTCCAATCATCAATAGTGTTTTGGCTTCAAAATCGATCCAGCGGTTTGGTTTGCAGATAGTTATAGAACATATACCTACACTGGCAAGGGGCACATCACAATTGAATGAAGAAGAATTGGCGAGCGAATGAACAACTTTGTCTGCGATCAGTGTGGCTTGTAATGCGGGTATTCTGCTATCATCACATAAACTCTTGCTGCAAAATAACTTTATCCAACGGGCACATAAAAGATGTTCTTCAGAGCCCTCGCGCATAATAACAAGACGAACTTGTAGACTACCCACTACCCCGCACTGGGCAGGGCTGTAAAAATTGCAATCAAATTGGATTGCAATCGCATATTTACGTAATATGGCAATCTGGTTTAATTGCAATTAACATTGATTACTTATATTTTGATTGCAAAAATTTAAATTTGCAATCATTTAGAAGAAATCGATTGCAATAAGTTCAGATCAAAAGTTAATTGCAATCATTAATTGCATAAAAATTGCAAACTGCAATTTGTCTAAATGACATTTATTTTGATGAATAATTGGCACGGGTCGTATGACACCTTGATCCGGCCCTGCAAAGAGAAGGGAGTGGAGAACTGGCAAGGAGTTTGGTCAGAAAGAGAATAATAGGCGTAGGGATAAAGGAGGGGTCCCCGCTCGAATTAGCAGCCAGGGCGTTACCAGGTGTCACCACGGGGAAGCCCCTTATACTAGGGGGGTGCTAATCGTAATGCAATTGAACACGTACGAGTCGACGCTTTGGGATGTCGCGTGTGTGCAAGTCGATCACCCCCATCAAAGACACCCCAAAACGGTGCAACAACTACTCACTTGCAAGTTTTTACTAGTTTTGTGTTCAATAGCTTTTTCTGCTAGTTTTCTCTTTTTCTCAAATTCACGTTCTATTTTGCTCAATTTCTTCATTAAAAAAGCATGAATAAATTATTGCATTTTTGAGATTGCAATTAAAATGTTTGATTGAATTTTTGTTTAAATTAAGATCTTCAGTGAAGGTGACCAAATTTGCTGGACAGAAACAGACAAACAAATTTTACAACATGATGATCTATTTCGGAAAGAATTTCCGTCCTTCTTTACCAAGTTTGATTTGGATACAAACACCATCATTTTCCCACCATGTCAGAAAAATCAACAAACCACAAGAGTTGTTTTATTTTCACTCTACAGTAGACGAAAGTTTCACTATCTATGGCCGAAATATGTATGTATGTCTCAAAGTTAATATTTTTGTGATTCAGATCGCACTAAACCCTGCATTTTATGTTTTGATTAGTTGATAATTTTGGAAACTCATTAGAGTATGAGTCACTTTACTGTTTTAAATTAATTAGAGCTTCTTGTAGAATAAAATTTGTAGTTGATCTTCATATTTAGCTACACAACTCTTTGTCTGTCTGGGCCAAGATCAAAAAACTGCGCCAATTGGCTCTCATTTGTAAAGTACCGCCATCTGTTCATCCCGAGTGCAGACTGGCCTTTCGCGTAAGACAGAAATAAATAAAAGAACCTCCATTCCCTGACGCATATCAAATAAATCGATATTTTCTACAAGTGTGCTGATCCGTAATGGGTTAATATTCCTGAAATGTCCTAAAAAGGCTACCATTTAATTCCGTAAATGGACAAATATCCACAAAAGTAAAAATTAACATTTGACAAGTACTCAACAAAGCTACCTTAACTGCATTGAAATTAAAAAAAAAATAAGCTTAACTTCTACCAAAAATAGTCAATAATTATGGCAATCCTGGCAAATTGGCCATCAACAGGTGTCAAGTGTTAATTGTCAGTCATTGGTTGACGTTGTTTGTTCGTTTGATGTCTAAGCGGTAACGGCAGTTATAGCAAAAAGTCATAAGGACAAATTTATATTTATTATTTTTAGCGAAGTATATGTAGTTAGGTACTTCTTTCTAAGTCAAATATTAAACTCAGATAACACAAGTTAATAGGCAATATGTATGTATGTATGAACATTAGGCTAAGTTGATTTTGCATGGAGGACAATAAAGGCTATTTGATGGTATTGTAATAGTTATATTATGTTGTTTCAGGATACTGTTCTTGCCTTCTTTCGTCTGTAGAACAGCGAAATAATTAATAGAACAATCTATATGTTTGTTGGAAAAACGTAACTTACGGGGCTTACCAGAGCCCTGAAATTACTCATTATGCTATGGAAAAACCGGGTGGAGAAAGACTTGGCCTCAGTTCGCATTTCTAATTTGCGTCAGCCGGCATATACGGCCTAGCAGGAAGAAGAAGATAGCGTTGCCATTGAGGTGTTTGAAAAATTCGTACTAAATGTTCGTAAGCAGTCGATTTATTTTGAAAACTCGTATTTGTGGTTCAATTCGATTTAATTTCAGAACTTGCATTACTAGAACTTTAATAAGAAATATGAAAGAGCCCGCTGGGTGGCGCTGAAGTTGATTTATTTTGAAATTTCGTATTTAATGTCAGATTTGAACTAAATTTGTTTCGACAAGGATTTATTCAAAGAAACTTGATTCAGGAATGATATTTGGTATAGTTTTCATCCGAAAGCTCCATAAGGTTAGGGCGTATATTAGACCGCAGGCAGAAATTACTACAAACCGATCGTGTCCAAGCTAGAATCCCAACTATAACCCTTCTTCCAAGAGGTGATATGTTCAAGGTAATTAAGGGAGGGTCGGAATCGTATAAACATCCCTTAGACCTTTTTTGTGGCATTGAAGCGGCTGGCAGCATAGTTTCCTTAGGTATTTTAAAGAGTTTTAAAAAATACATATGTTGCGTTATATCTCTGATTTTGCTATTCATACATATGTATGTACATATTAGAGGGATGCATGAATGCATTCAAAACGGCTTTTGAATTATTCATATACAAAACGAATGACTGATTTTGGCTTCAAATTTTTTTGAATTTGAGTGAATAGCTCTTTTGATATTTGTGTCGACATCACAATATTCAAACAAAGTGGAAATAGATTGAATTGAAATAAATGACAATTTTGTGTATGAATATCCAAAAATATTTTTTCTATGAACATATGTACAAACATACAATGTATGTATGTATGTATTGCTGCGCTCCTATTACATACGAAAAAACTTGTTTGTAGAAAAAAACTTTTACCGAACTGAGTTTGAATGATTTGAATGTTTTCCATTCATTCATTCACATTCTTCCATTTGAAGGTAGAAAATATGAAACAAAATGTATATTCATAACTTACAAAATTCCAAACGCTGAGTGTTTTGTATGTGAAGTAAAATATTCAAATCTACTGTACTCTGTTTGTCTAGAAGTTTGAATGAATTCATGCAGCCCTCTAGTACATATACTAGTACTTTCCTATGTAATAACTTTTAAACATTTAAAAACTCTTTCATCTACTCACCCTGTAACTATTTCGAAGCCAATCAACTCCGGATCGCATTCCTCCTCAGTGTTACCGTGGTGTCCGCCGCTAGCTGTCCCAACGCTGTTGCCACTGTCCAGCAAGTCAATGTCCTCATCACCAATATCTGTCGGCAATTCTTTCTGTTCCTTTGGTAATTGATCCTCTTCATTGGCGTTGTATGCAGGTGCTGCCAGCTTTTCAGCGGATTCCAGTGCCACTGCAGCACTGGTTGTCGAGTCGAATGCCGCAAGTGAAGCAGCCGCTGCTGCGGCTGTATCTGCTGTTCCTGCTGCACCACCTACCGTCGCTGTAGCCGCCGCCACGGCCGCCGCCGCCGCCACCGCCGCAGATGAATTTGCGGCATCTCGTTGCTCACTTTCTGCATCGTTGGCTGCTGAGTTGTCAATGGCATGTTTTGCCTCGGAGCTGCCCCCCAAATCGGTAGCAATATCCGGCTGTTGTTGGCTCGCTGCTGCCTCTGATTGACGCTTTGCATCGTTGTTGGTTACTGCATTAGCTGAGTTGGTGATGTCTGTTGCAGTTGTAGTGGAGGAAACCGGTGCCGCCGCCACAGGTGCTACTGCTGCTTTTGCATCGACTAATGGTGCCGTTGCCGCTTGTTCTTCTGCAATAGGCAAATAGCTGTCCTTCGCTGCAGTGGAAGCGGAGGCAGCGGCTGGGGCGACAGGTTGTGCGCTTTCGGCTAAATCCAGACGCGAACGTCTGGCTGCCATAATAGCGGCAGGTGAGGCGACGAGAAGACATAGCAGCAGAAGCCAAGGTATGTTATTGTTGCTCTTGCTGTATAGCGTTCGTTTGCTGTGTCGCATTTTAACGTGTTAGCAGTTGTGGTTGCTGTTGTTGCGATCTATGCCCGGCAGCTGGAAAAGGAGAGCAGAAAAACGGTGCAGTGCATAAGTAAATGCGAAACAAATGAGCAGCAAATAATTGAAATTGTTATAGTAAACAGTGGGAAGAAAATATACAACAAATGTGTTGTCAATACAATGACATGCTACCGACTGTGCTGCAGCTACAATCCTACAAACATACATAAGCCTACATTTTATGCGCATATGTAGCGACCAGACAGCGTGAAGGCGTTGCGAACTAACTGCCAACAGCCATATACTTGAGAACTCAATTTACACGGTATGCGCGAACACTGGCTTCCTTCAGTCATTTGGTGCGCCGCCAGCGCCCTTGGCTATATAGCAGCACGTTTAATTGGAAGTTATGGAGACCCGATGGCTGTGAATCCGAGCCGCCTAATGAGTCTCTTGCTTACAACTAATTTATGGTTCCATTAACTCTTCATATTTTTGTATTCACCGCGTCGATTTCGAGTAGCTGATTGCAAATATAAATTAATTAAATGCTTCTCATTCCAACTCTAATAATAAATGCTTTGCTATGTTATTATTGCTATATGGCAGCTTTATTGAGTTTTTGTTTTTTGTTTGCGTTAGCCTGTTCTCCCGTTTCAGCCCTTGCGGCTTTTGTTCTCTTCACGCTATTCCACTTTTTTTTTTACAGATTCACGCCAATATCTTGTGTTTTTCATTTATTTTTTTCTTTTCTGGCTATTCACACAGTGGGTTTGCATTCGTTTCATTTTGAACTTCCGCTTGCTGCTGCCGACAGAAGCTTTAATTTGAATCAATTAGGCTCACACGATTACTTTGAAGGCATATAAATTGGCAAAGAATTACACCTTTTGCAATGGTAATGGAAATAAATTATTTTTTAAATGTTTTATGGTATCGATGCCTACTAATTGAGTTTGTCTATGGGTGGAAAGGCAATTGCAAACTGGTATAAGTAGGGGTTTTTTCCATTTACCACTTATTGAAATTTAGCAGTACGGATGCTACTTCGGTGCAAGCGCTGAAATGCAATAGAATTTATTCAGAAGAAAATCAAATGCGAACCGTACAATGACTTTGTCAGATTGGGTTGTTAACCTTGAATAACCAGCAAGCAACTCTCAAAATTTAATGTGCAATAGCGTAATACATATCGAGTCTTAACCGAAAAAAAAACGTAAGCTAAAATCGAATGCATTTGGATGCTGTAGGAGCATCCATTTGTGTGACAATAAAACTTAACACCAATGTAAGTTCCAGTAGCTTTTTACTCTTGTATACTAATCCTCGTTTACTTGTGTGAAAAGTGTTAGTAAATTCAATGAAATATAGTCAATCAATATAATTTTCTTCTATATTCAGTTGAGACTTTCATATGTCTGTCCCCGCTAAAATAAACGCTTTCCTAAAGACTCTTAGCGGGCAATTTTGGCAACTGTCTTTCAACTCACTGCGAAATGTGATTAAAAACCAAAATATTTTTCATTTTAAAATATTAAAATCTAATCTAAATAACAAAATTAAATATTGCTACAAACTAACTGCAGATAAGAAAATATTAAATAATAATAGAACTTAAAAGAAAATTAAATTAAAAATAGAAATTTAAAGAAAATTAAATTAGAAATAGAAAAAATAAATAAAATTAATAAAGGAAACAATAAAATAAGTTCATAAAAATTAATGACATAAAAACAAATGTTTCTTTTCGAAACAATTTACTTAATCTAAAAAAAAAAACAAAATTAAAAAAAATTAATAAAATAAGTTTCCAAAAAATGAAATGATAAAGCAATATGTTTTTTAAACAATAAAATTAAAAGAAAATTAAATAAAAAAATAAATCAAATGAAGCTAAAACAAATATATTCTTTTTAAAATATCAAAATCTAAAAAATTAAGGAAAATCATATTTAAAAAAAATAAATAAATAAAAAGTTAAATGTTACTAAAAACTAATTGAAGATAAAAAAATATTTTTCTTAAAAAAATAGAAATTAAAAGAAAATTAAATTAAAAATAGAAAAAATATAAATAAACTTAAAACAGAAAACAAAAAAAAAATAAGTTCATAAAATTTTATGAAATAAAAACAAATGTTTCTTTTTAAAACAATATAATCTTAAAATTAAAAAAAAAAATTAACGAAAATAAAATAATGATGAAAGAATATGTTTCCTTTTAAAACAGTGAAGTTAAAAATAAATTTAATTTATTAAAAAAAAGTAAATGAGTTAAAACAAATAAATAAAATTAAATGAAGCTAAAACAAATATTTTCTTTTTACAACATTAAAATATAAAAAATAAAAGAAGATCAAATTAAAAATAAAAATAAATAAAAAAGTTAAATTAATTGAAGATAAAAAAATATTTTTTTTTACCAAAAAAAAAAATAGAAATTAAAGAATATAAATTAAGTTAAAGAGAAAACAATGAAATACGTTCTTAAAATTAATGAAATAAAAACAAATATTAGATGACAAGTCGGAGGTAGGAGCTCCCGTTAAGTACAACGACTGCTTTATCGATCTCATATTATATCATGATGTCGGGTAATGCAGACGATGTAACGATACGCTTTATAAGCTTTGCAATGCTAGATGTATACATAGTGCAGCGTATTAAAATACAGCGGCTCCGCTGGCTTGGCCATGTCGTTCGAATGGACACCGACGCTCCAGCTCTGAAAGTACTTATTCAACTCGGAACCCGCTGGTGGAAGTCGAGGAAGAGGGAGGCCCCCACTACGATGGAAAGACCAAGTGGAGAAGGACGTGGCTTCACTTGGCATTTCCAAATGGCGTCAGTTGGCACAGAAGAGGATTGACTGGCGTGCTTTATTGGACTCGGCCAAAATCGCTTAGGCGGTTACAGAGCCAAAGAAGAAAGAGGAGAAAGTGCAAATTCAAGTCGCTAAAAACTGGTGTTGGTTTTTGAGTTTTTTTTTATCGGAAATTTCGATGAAAATATTTAGCAGTTTCACGAGTTCTGTCGGAATTTGAAAAAGTGATTCTTTTGGGTTTTGTTATTGAATGAATTATATTTTAGAAAAACTAAGAAAAATTTGGCATAGAAAATACTACGAATAAATAAGATCGTCCAATCGTCAGGGTGTAAAATAATAAAATCTGTTACTTAAAAGAAAAAAAAAACATTTATTAAAATAAAAAATAAAACAAAATCAGTGTGTTGCTCACTCGACCATTGTGACTGCTGGGCACCGCGAGCAAAATTATTACAAGTAGTTTCTGTCAAAAGAGCTTTTCACCATGAAAAGCTGACAAGCGAGCTTTTTTTGTAAGACTTTCGTGCCAGAATAAATAAAATATTTAAACCTATCTCGAAAGACTTTCAATTATCTTAGCCAGAATTGCCCTGTTCACACCAAACGATTCCAAATTCTGGTGACGAAACATTTCAATATGTTCAAATTTCGTTTTTTTTTCACTTTTGATCCCTAAAATAAATCTTTAAGGTTCCCTAATATCAAGAGTCGTATATGACTGAACTATTATAGCACGTAAGCCCACATTTGCAATACAGTGTCATGTTCGAATGCATCCACCACCCTGCTGACGGCAATACAGCATATTCAGTTGCAAGAGAGTATGAAAATAAAGTTGGAATAAAACGAAGCGCAGAAAATTGTGCGCCGAGCATGGTGCATCGAGCAGCTTCGCAAAAGACTCGTGTGACGACAGCAGAAACTACTTAACTTGCAACTTGCAACGCCAATGATAGATATTGCCGTATTTGCTGTTGTTAGGCTGGTGCCATGTCGGCGTGTGTAGGCTGTGCTGCTACTGCTGCTGCTGCTGCTGCTGCTGCGGTGCCGCACAAACAAACATTAAATTATGTATCTAGCAGCTGAGTAGCAGCGCCCACAGCGTGCTTGGAACATGGCAACAGCAGCACTCACTGTTGTCAATACTAAACTGTTGTCGACAGCCTGGAAAAATCTATAAGACAGTGGTTTATGTTGTGATCGAGGTAAAAAAGCAACTTGAGAAACGTGTAGTACATGCCTCTCTTTTGCCATGAATATGTATTTGTTGTTTGCAAATAGTTATGGAAAGCGTTCCTTTTAAAAGTTATTGCTAAAATTTATTTTTATTTCATTCATGCTTTTTGAAATGCTCATGCCGATTTTATAGTGATAATTTTAAAAGTTTTATTTCTTATATGCCGGATGCCTTATTTGATTTTTTTCTTATCGTAATGCGTGTTCGTTTTAAATGATGAACAATACTTCAAGTGATTTTGATAAAGGATTCTACGTAGTTTTCGGTAAAAAATATTTTATTTTTTTTTGCATACAAACTTTATGTTAAGTACAATATATATATTTTTATTTATTTTGACTTTTTTTAGTTTTTTAATACAGTATGTATGTCCCAGATTTGGAACATGGAAATTTACTCTGCGGGGGAGTGTTGTCTTATGAACGTTATGAATGTTATGAATGTTTACTTTCAGGCTCAGAAAACACATCTTTCCTTTGCTTAAGGAATTTATATGTAGGTAAAACAAATTAAGGAACTCGAATGAAGGTACTTTGTACCTTCCATAAAATTTAAGCAACTTGGAGCCCTTATTGTAATATCCGAATGTTGATTTATTTTTTAATCAAATAACACTGTACAGAACTTGAATGGGTATTGGACCAAACCAACTTTTTTTTAAGAGATTGAGTCATAATTAAAGAAGCAATTTCTCTGTTTTTCGAATTTAGTTTGAGAAATCGAGATTTGGCCCTTCGAAGTTCGAAATTGTACCTTTGGTAAAAAATTATTTTTAATCATTGTATGTAAACAACTAAAAAAGTAAAAATGTTATATGACATTTTTTGTGCAAACTTATATTACAGGTGCTCTAGGTTATAAAATAAGTTCAAATTATTTTTAAATATATTTTTTTTTAATTTTTTCGAAAATCTGACCTTTGGCCCCTTATAGCTGCTGTAATATAACTTTGCACAAAAAAAGTTACATACCGTTTAAATAAGAGCAAAAG